ATCTTTCAGTAGTTTACTACCATTCTGTTTAGTTCCCTAATTTTTTATAGTCCAGCAGTCTTTTATCTTTATACATCTCTTAGGCCGTGAATTCATAGGGAATAGGTTCCAATAGCTCAGGCTCCTTTTTGTTGGTTCTAACAAAGTGTACTTCTCTGGGTGGAGCAGGCTGGTGCTTCAGTTGAACCCAGGTTCCTTTCTCTTTGGCTTCCTTCTTTTTCTGCTCATTTTCCTTCACTTGTTTCAGGAAGCTATCTCAGCTCTTAGAGTGTTTAATATGCTCAATATACACATTAATCCTCTTGAGAAGGACTCTGACCTTAACTTGCTTGTTCACAACAATGCCAACAGCATGCTGGGTAACATTATAGACCCTTCCAGTTTTGCTATGGTAACATTTATGGGGCATTTCTTTTTGAACAGTACTCATTCTCTTGATGTCTACAATATCACCCTTCTTGTAGATTCTCATGTATGGGCCCAAAGGAACAATTCTATGTATCCTGAAGGCCTAGAAAACATGTATCAAGTACTTCTCCTCTTTCCCTTTGTGTTCGCCATTTTGGCAAATTACTGGAAGATGGCAGTTGCAGCCAAAAAAAAAAAAAAGAGTTTAGTTTCCTAATTTTTAAAATAGTCATCTGTTGGTCTGGGAAGGTGGCTCAGTGGTAGAGTGCTTGCCTTGCATGCCTGAGGCCCTGGGTTCGATTCCTCAGCACCACATAAGCAAAAAATAGTCATCTGTTCATCAAAACACAATTTTTTAACAGTTGCATATAGAATCTGGGATGACAACTTAAGGCTTATTGACCAAATCTCATCCACTCTGTGTGTTTTGACATTGCTGGAAATTGACCTCAAGACCTTGTTCTTGCTAGACAAACTCTCCTCACACTGAGCCACACCTCTAATCCTGTTTTTGGCTGGCTATTTTTGAAATTGACTCTAAGTTGCTGTCTGAATGCATGTCTGAGCTCAATGTGTCTATGTTAGGTGTATTTTTCTAGGATGACAGGGAACTCACCACCCAACTCAGCTCTCAGTTGAGAAGGGGTCTTGTGTATGTTTTTGTTCACATTGGCCTCTAACCACCATCTTGCTGTTCTCTAACTAGGAGAATAGAAATATAGCTAGGAATATAGGCAGGTAGCTAAGAATACAGACATGAGCCACTGGAACCAATCTACTCTGCTTTGGATGCATTGTACTCACTGACATGTTGAATTAAACTTCTTCATACAACTATGTAAAGATGATAAGATATAAATTAACTATTTTTTTTGTCAGTCATGGGATTTGAACTCTGGGCCTGGGCACAGTCCCTCGGCTCTTCAGCTCAAGGCTAGCACTTTACCACTTGAGCCACAGTGCACTTCCAAATTAACTATTTTTTAAAAAGAAGCATTCTTAGGATATAGTACATTCAAGCTCAAAGTCCTGGTTTCAATCTTAGCACTGAAAAAAAAAGTAGCTAAATTCTTTACATCTCATTGCACTCACACACACACACACACACACACACACACACACACACACACACACTATGGCTCCTTTCATCCTATAACAACTGAACTGAGCATGGCAGCAGAAATTATATGGCCTGCAGAGCCTTAAGTAAACATAACTAGATTTGATATATATCATTCTAATAGTTGAAGAATAGATATTATTCTGCATTTCCTGGGTACTGTAAGAGCTCAAAATTTTGTAGCATATCTATTGGGCATTTGAATAATCTGCTTATGTACATTGCTCATTTTCTTACACTATTTAAAAAAAGTTTTCTATCTTTTCAAAATATTTATACCTGGTCTGTCATCTGTGGCCAGTGTTTCTCCTAGTTTATTATTTGCCTTTCAATTTTAATACTTCTTCCTCCAAGAAATGGTAGGGAAAAAACAAAGGAGGGGATAACAATGCTCAATAGGAAATGTATTCATTACCTTACGTAACTGTAACCCCTCTGTACAGTATCTTTACAATAAAAAAAGTATTAAAAAATACCCCTTCTTCCAGAGCTTACTAATTCTTCAGTTGGGTCATCTCCAGTTCATGTTATTTCCCAAATAGTTTTCATCTCTTTATCATTTTTCATTTAATATATGTCTCCTTTTCTTCTTAATTTTCAACATAGTCCCTACTTCACTTTGATTTTCTTAAGTTTCAATTAAATCTTTTATTTCTTCTTACTTTAGCCTTTAATATAGCCTTTATTCTCTTGTAGTTGTTTCTCCTTGTTCTCCTTGCTTCTGCAGTGTATTTTTTTTACATCTTATGACACCTTGAAAATCAAGAGATTCTTTTCTTCTAACATCAAGAACAATCTTCCTTCTTTCATCCTGCTGATTCTGATGCTATCTTTTCTGGCATATGTACATATTTCCTGCAATGTTTTTAATCCTTTCATCTTCTTACATAAAATATCACTTCCCCAAACTACCCATTGCCTAATCTTTGAATATGATATCTTATACAGCAATAGGAATGTTGTTGATATGATTAAGGTGAGGGTCTCTGGTGGGGAGATTGTCTTGGATGCTGCAAGTGAATCCAGTATTAAATCCAAAGGTTCTTATCAGAGCAATACAAGAAGATTAGAGGCAGAAAAGTAAATGGGATGACAGAAGCAGAAGTCAGAGAGAAAGTGAGAGATCCAAAGATGCTGCACCATTGCCCTTGAAGATGAGAGAAAGGCCCAGGGGCCAAGGATGATACACTAGCTCTAGTAGCTGGAAAAGACAAAGACACACATTCTCCCTGACAGCTTCCATCTGACCTCCTGAACGATAAGATAATATATCTTTGTTGCTTTAAACCACTAAATCTGTGGTAATCTGTTATAACAGCAATAGGAAACGAATCAAGATTTCATGTGAAAGGTACTTAGTGGATGTGATTTAGGGTTGTGGAAATGGAAATGGAAAATTGCCTTTGACTGTCTAGGATTCCAGATTCTGGGTCACATCTAATTGCTAAGTCCTTAGAAGCATGCAGATGTATCTGGCTGAGGCGGAGAGACAATAAAATGTAGGTAGGGGATGAAACAGGTAAGTCAGAGAGAGAAAAATAGTATAAAAATTCAGCCTATCATTGCTGGATTAAATGATAGGCAAAGAGAGCTTCGGGAAGTATTCTGACTAGAGAGAGACAAGGAGAAAGAAGGATGGGAAGAATAAGAGACAAGAGGAAAGCAGAGTGAGAAGGAACAGGATAGGAGAGATGGCAAGGGAAAACACTACTATTTGCAACAAATATGACTGTCTTATTTCTTCACTTACAACCCCTTTTAACACCCTTCTGATTGGTGGCCAGGGGTCATGCTTGCCCCCTTCACATGAGAGAGAGCCTTGAATTTTATTCTGCTGTTCGCCTGTATCTTAGTGACTTCACCAATCCTAATTGAATTCATGGAACTGGTCTCATCCTCCAAGTTGGATTTTTTAAATGGTTGTCTTGCTTCCCAGACATACTTGTTGAAATAGGTCCCAAAGGTGGGGTAAGGGGCTTGAATGGCTGTATTTCCTGCACATTCCAGACTATGATGGTGTGTTCCACTTCTTCTCCCACTCCCTACTTCCTCCATCTCTATCGTGACTACAGTGAACTTTTACTATACTCCAGAAGTGCCACAATCTTGACAGGGGAACTTATTCTTGGAATTGTCTTGTTTTCCTATCCATAACACCTCCCTCTGCTTAAACATCACTTCTTGAAGAACTAGGCTCAGTCAGGTTACCAGGTTACTATTCCTGCTAGTGCCCTTTCTCCATCCACCAATCCATTCCCTAAATATTCCTGCTTTGTGCTGCTAGCTTAGGAAGTGTTATCCTCAGGATAGTCAGAGAGCAAAACCAGCATGGCCTTTGCAGTCATCATACTTGTGATGGGCCAGGGAGTATTTGTCTTTCCAGATGTATGCAAGGCTTTCAGCTCTACCTGACCTTTACAAAATAAGCACCAGGATAGATGTTCCAATTTTTTCATTGTTGCTGACTGGCTGGACTTACTGACTTTGGGTGCTGCAGTGGGGAAAATTTATTCTGTCAGGCTACAGAGCTAATTTGAGGTTTGTTTTTTTAGAACATATATTTCCTTCCCATCACAATGATCTCTGATGTATTTATGACATGGGCAAAGTCAGATCTCTGATTTTGAAAATTAGGTGGTCCTTTGGGGGGGTGTCATTGTACCCATCAGGCTCTGGTTAGAGACAGACCCCTGACACACTCATTTGTGTTCTCTCTTGCACACACACACGCACACACACACACACGGTCACCTGGTCTCCAAGCAAGTCAGCCAGCCTCTGTGCTTCTGGTCTTACACTGGCCCCTAATTGTTCCACTAAGCCTCTTTCCATTCAAGTAGATTTCTACACAATAAATTTCTGAAGCACAACCAGTCCATTATGTGTCCCCAAACACCAGGGGTCACAAATGAACCTCTTTACAGGTCCTACTCCAGCCTCTTATTCTGTATGACAGAAGAGTCTGCTCTGGTGATTTCTGCTGGAGTTCTGCCTGTGTCCTTCTTGCTAGGTGGACATATTCATTTTCTAGCCGCTAAAATCCCTCATAGCTCCTTCTCAGTAAGACACCTTGAGGTACCAGTACTGCCTCAACTATACCACATCAGCCAACATCCAATACTGATTGACACAGGCCCTATGAGGACAGAAATTTAGACAGTGCTTTAGGTCAGTCCATGCTCTAGAAATCCTGTGGCTAAGGCTGGACTTGTCTCCAGCCCAGTACCCATTCTTACTTACCTTTTTCCCCTGCCTATCCCGCTGCCCTGTCTTCCCACCTCCTAACAACATGATCAATGAGACACTCCCACAAAGACCCTCATCCAGGCTCTGTGTCCAACCTAGGATATAATCACTACTCAAGGAAGACGTGTGGGAGAAGCATCACAACAGTGGTTCTCTTCAGAACCATCCCACATTTGTTCCCCCTGTTGACACTAAAGTGCATTGCTTCTTCTTTCTTGGTATTCAGATTTGCGTGGCTTCTGAAGAAAAAGAAGAAGACGACGAAGAAGAAGATGGCTTCATCAGAGTCCTCAGCGGGAAGAAGAGAGGCCTTGTCCCCCTCAATGTTCTAGAAAACGTCTGACCATGGACCCTTCCTCTGTGCAGTAGTAGGCCAGCTCTGCTCATCTCACTGTGTTCACCCCAAGGAGCTGCTATGCTGACCCAGCCCCCAGGAAACAGGGAGATAAGACTCAAGGGTCTGAGACTGGAGGAGCCACTACAAAATAGGGCCCATCATACACCATGTCAGGATACCTGATGTGGGGAGTAGGCTGAGACAGTAGGGGACAGAAATAAATGCACACCTGGCGGTGGCAGCAGAGATGTAGCCACAAATGTCGCAGACATGATGCCCTCTCTGTCCACCACCTGCTGGAGTGTGCTCCAGGCTGCAGTGTTGGCCCTTCCTATGTGAGGCTTAGGTCTGTATAGCTTAGTGTGATACTGGCGCCAGATCTTTGTCCTTAGTACTGGCTAAGGACTCTCTGAGGAGAATCAAGAAGGCCTGCTTCCCAGCTGCCAACATTCCAGTGCTCCCCCAGGGCCCTCCTCACTTTGTGGTTGTGCTGTCCTAATCATTAGGTCTTTCTCCAGTCCTCCAAGTACGTCATGGCGATATGTATTGGATGTGATGGTGCAGTTGACTCGCACCCACTGCAAAGATAAGACTTGCCCCCCAAATTGCTAACCGGCTGTCCTTGCTTTGGCAACCCACAGGGGTGACAGAGCAGGATAAGGCATAGAAATAATCAGGGAGAAGTCACGGGGGTGAGGAGGGACAGAGCCGTATGTTTTGAAGATGATCTAATCCTTGCAGTTATAAAGCTCTTTCCTGAAGCAAATGGAGCCGGGAAGCAAAGATAACACATTTGGTCTTCATTGGCATTCCATTCCATCTGTATTGAGAGCAGCACTTTCCTTCCTGTGTCCTGTAGCCCTCCATGTGAAGGCTGAGCCCACCATGAAGGGGAGCAGGGACACAGAGGGTCTCCACCAACATCATCTTAGGAGAAACAGTCAACTTGGAATCCATTCTTCTTTAGGGTAGTGTATTATATCCTAGCAGATATAAACTGGGAAGGAGTCTCTATGGCTTCATCTATTTGGAAGCAGAGGAACTTGGGCCCATCTAGCATCACCTAGGGTGTCTCTACTGCTCTGCCCTGGCGCCAATGTTTACAAGGACACACTGCACAGCAGTGCCTCCTCCCTACACCCTCCTAACAAATGCAAACTGCATCCTCCCCGTCACTAATATGGTTTATCTTCAACTCACAGTGACCTTGGAATTAACGTCAGTTTGATCTGCTTTGTCACAGAGCAATAAAATCATCAGAATCATTGGTTTTGAAAAGGACTTAAGAGGAGGGCATTCAGTGCACGTGACATTATTGTCCCATACCAAAGCATCATTAGTCTCCACGTCTCCCTTTTTGTTCTTGCTCAGCATGAAGTTGGGAGCTTGATCTAGGGTTGCTGTGGTTTCATAATGGTGTGGATGCCTTACACCCCTTCTCCAGGCAGCATCCAGAGTTCCCTGCCTGGGTACAATATACAAAGCCAGGTTCAAGTTAAGATGGATTCTTTGAGAGCCCAGGTGGTTAACATGACTGCCTTTCTGTAAAATCGAATGCTGACCACAGACCCTCTTGGCCTCTCATTCAACTGCCCATTTAATGAAAACAACACAGTGGCTGGAAGGCGCATAATGGGGAAAAAAACATGAGTCCTGACCTCTTCTCTCTAATGGACATCCCAGGTTGTTTGTTTGTTTTTGTGCAGGTACAGGGGCTTGAACTCAGGGCCTGGGTGTCGTACCTTAGCTTTGTCTCTCAAGGCTGGCACACCACTATTTGAGCCACAGTTCTATTTCTGGCTTTTTTCCCCCCAGGTAGCTAGAAATAAGAATTTCATGGGCTTTCCTGCCCAAGCTGGCTTTGAATCACAATCCTCAGATTTTAAGCCTCCTGATAGATAAGGTTACAGGCATGAGCCACCAATACTGGGCCATCCAAAGTTTTTGATGCCTCGTTTTCATTTTAAACTCAGTTTGCCTTTTCAAGCTGGATGAAGGAGTGTGTGGTATCCAGCCTACCAAGTGGTGGCCCCGTATTCCCTATCTCCTGACATGCTCGCCTTTGTGCAGTGCCTCCCACATCAAATCAGGGCCCATCTTATATGCTAACATATAGCTGGGCCAAACGCCTCATTTCTTTGCCTTGGTCACCCACAACACTCGTTCTTGGAACTTTGAGACATACATAAAAAGGTGTCTACCTGAGTCCATCAAGCAGTACAGACCCAGTGCAGGGACCAGACATTTCAGCAGCTGAGTCTCTAGATGTCACAGACCAGTAATGGGTCTTCCATGAAGAGCCCTGCCCAAACAAGAGATTTATAAACAGGATAAATATGGATTTTTTTAAATTCATGAAGTTTGAAAGAGTAACCTTTAAATTAAAAAAAAAACTCAGAGAGTTTTATCATTTAAGCCAGAGGAGAAAAGTATTTTGGGGTTGGTTTTTGTTTAAATATTTTTTTGAGGTACTGGTATTTGAACTCAGTGCCTTGCATTTGTTCTGGTTTGCTTGCTGGGCTTATACTCTACCACATTAGCCATGGCTCCAGCTCTGATTTTTGCTGGTTATTTTGGATACACAATCTTTTTTTTTTTTTTTTGGTCGTGGGGCCTGAACTCTGGGCCTGAGCGCTGTCCCTCAGCTCTTCAGCTCAAAGCTAGCGCTCTACCACTTGAGCCACAGCGCCACTTGTGGCTTTTTCTTTTTGCCTATGTGGTGCTGAGGAATTGAGCCCAGGGCCTCATGCATGCAAGGCAAGCACTCTACCACTGAGCTACCTTCCCAGCCCCAAGAACACACAATCTTTTATGCCCAGGATAGCTTTAAACCAAGATCTTCTGCATCTTAGCCTCCTCACTAGCTAGGATTACAAGTGTTATTGTACAGCAAGAAAACAGAGAAGCCACAGTTTGAGAGGTCAAATCAGGAGTCTTTATTAGAAGGCCAGGCAGATTCTTGTCACAAAGACCTGCAGCCCTGAGAATATACTTAACATGTCAGGAAACTAAACCATGAGAGCAGGAGAGGAAAGAAAGAACAGAAAAGTAATGCCAACAAACCAGATCAGCTCTAAAGGAGAGCTAATATGGGATGCCATGTTGACCTGAAGAGAACCAGGAGACAGGACATAAGAGGGCAGGAGACACATGGCATGGCTACCCACACCTGAACTGGTCCATTGGTCAGGGAGTAGATAGGGTCAGGTCAGGGGGCAGGGTCACAGGGAGCTTGATAGTTCATGAACCAAGACTGGCAGGTCCAATAACCTATTGTCCAAGTCCCCATCATTGCCTCTAGGAAATCAGATATGCCCACCACCTAGGAGGTGGGAATTCCCTGCCTTCAACATGCAGACAAGATGGCCAGTTAAACCCAGTACCTTATTATCTACCATGTGGCCAAGATGGTGCCAGTTAGATTCAGTATCCCTACTTCAGTGTGAACCACCAGCATCCAGCTGGAGAAATAATTCTTTTTGCATGTTGAGACCCAAAAGGCTTTCAAATACCAAATATTACCAGGTAAACAGTCCTCTAAATGGAAGTGTTTAGGGCTCCCTAAAGATCCAGAGTCACTCATAGGTAGAAGATTCTCTGATTGGCATAGATCATCACAGATGTTTCCCCCTTGTACTAGAACTCTTCCTCTGCTTATCAGCAGAAATGACAGGAACATGGATAGCTGTGGCCTACTAAAGTCTTGAAGGTTTCCAGGATTCAAGAAGTGACTAGAATAAAGATCAGAAGAGGCCTTCAAGAGATAAATACTGCTGAACAGACAAGGGAAGATGGGAGAGTGCATACATGAAGGACAGAAAGTGAATCTGGGACATTCATCCCAGTGTGAAAAATGTCCTGTACCTGCTGGTCTCCTGCCTCCACAAAGGCCCTACATGTCAGGCTACCCAGGGCAGCCTTATCCTACACTTTACCACTACTGCTCTAGCATACTGATATTGGGATGAAGAACTGATTGATCATGCATGGTGGTTGCAGAAGGTGGAGAAGAGAACTCCCTTAGCCCTACCTGTCTGGCAGAAGCCTGTGGATCTGTTAGTTTGGGCAGTGGGACTGCATGGTGAATAGTAGAACTGATTGCATAGACCATCCCCTTGTCCAGCTATAACACCCCTCCACAAACACACACACACAGAGTAACTCATCAAGAGAAAAAGTCTAACATCAAGGCTACATATTTAAAGCAAATGGTGGAGTGATAGTGGTTTGTTTTCTTCATTACTAAAGGGAAATGGAAAACCACTTTTGAAATCTAAAAACCAGTCAGTCTAGGTAACAGGTGGCTCCATGAAGAGAACTAGAAAGGAAATCTAATGGTCAGTCCTATGGCCTATATTGGCAGACCTAGGGCAGCTGTAAACTGTCCTCTCCTCCAGTAGCAGCTTACATTTAAATAACCTGGCCTCTTTACTGAGGACTTCTCAGAGCCATTACTTTGTTAATTCTCATTTTGAATATCCAGAGGGGAAATTTAGAACTGGGGCAATCTGATTAACTCTTCCTAGAATAACATTGCAAGAAATACAGCTTTGGTAAACTCTGTAGTAAAGGATTCTTGTATTTCCACCTAATAACCTCCAGGCCTCCAGCTTCCACTCTCTTCCTCTGTCCCACTGAGATACTGATGAAGCATTGAAAAGGACAGAGGCACACAAGTGTTACTCTAGAGCCTGAGTCTGTAGGGGAGCAGGAGAAAGTGGGGACCTGTGTACTGTAGAGTTAGAAAGCACAGGAGGAAGAGTGATCTCCTCTGGAGGATTAGCAAACGCTGACCAGCAGGGAGTAGACTGGTAGAAATCTGAGAATAAAAGAAAGTTCAGCCTTGCTCAAAATAGCATCCCCAGGAAACTAAGTGAGCAGGTGTGCTCCACAGATTCACCACTAAGCAAAACCCTTAAAATAACTCGAACAGAAAATTAAAACTAATAAATGACATCCTGTAAACGTCTGTGCAAATTTTTCTCAGTTACCATTCTGGTATGTTT